TTTGGAGGGCGGGACCTGAATCAGAGGGATAATAATTGTAGACCACACCAGATTGACGGTTAAAGGCGAAGAGTTGGAGCCAGCAGAATTGAGTGAACATCGGAGGTACGATCAGCAGTTGCCAAAACAGGGAGCCTGTCACTATGCTTAATTCTTCTCTTACCATCAATGACATCTGCTACCTTTGAGTCTCCGAAAGACTTCAACGACTCTGAAGAGGACCGAAAATGGGTGATTTACGACCGCAAATGGGCTCGACACCGCCTGGAAATGTACATGGCGTTTTCACCCTCGAATAATGCACCATCCGACAATAATTTTACAGGGCAAAGCAGAAGACAGCCAAACGTGTGTTGGTCAAGAGGGCCCAGTGGAAGGCTGCCTCCGCTCGCTATTACGAGAGGCATCCGGAAGTTAAGGAAAAGAAACGGTTGAAGGCGGCGGAACAACGGTGCACAATCATCTTTTCATTGCGAAACGACGGTACTAATCTGTGTTCACATATGAGCAATATCATACAGCGCTGCCAAGAAACTCGCGAAACGGCGCTGGGATCCACCTAAGTTGACCGTGTATGTTGTTTTGTGCCCCCGAAACGCACAGCTAAGAGCAAGGTGGGTAGGGTGCCGCTGGAGGACATTTTTGGCGACAAACAACTTCGCGCGCCTTCCACGCCGTAGGCTTATTCTGTTGTTCTCGGGCTGTTTGATGATAAAACCTGTCCAGCGAGCCTTCGAGAAGTGGCGCAGAGGAGGGTGTGTGGTTACCGCTGCATCCGGTCAGCGCAGTCGACGAACGGTGGGTTTCAAATTTTTGCCTTGTCCTATAATGTTCGTCCTCAATAACTAATTAACCAACTAACTAACTAGTTTGGACGACGGGTACATCCTTCCCGGGCGGGATGCTGCAGAGAGCGTGCGAGGTCCAGGGCCGACCTAAGAGCCCGGCATGTCCAGTGGCCATGGCGCGACTGACGACAAACAGGTGCGGACAGCAAGATCCGGAAGCCCGCGTGGTCACGGACAAATGGGGTCTGCTGGCCCCACAATACGATAGCAGGTGCGACACAAACTGGCTGCTGTTGCTTGGGTCTTGCTGAATTTATGTAGCGACGAGGATTCTACTTAGACGCAATTTGTATTCCTTTGGTATTTATGTACCAGTTAATTTATACGCATGATAAAATCACTACCTTTGATAACTGGACTTGAGAGGAAGCCGAATTGGGGGAGGGGAGCGCGACGACAGAATAAAATTGAGGCGGGAGGTACATGTGTATATAACAAAAGGAATCATAGCTCCTCCACCCACTTCTGGACCTCATGCAGGGCGTATTTCTCTGCGTAAAAGTCGAGCATGTCGCGCTTGCTCTTGCGCTTGCGGTACTGCTGCCCAGGGCAGTGCTTGACCTGGAAGTCGGCGGCCTCACTGACGGGAAGAAATTGAAGCGAAGGGAAAATAGGGAAAAAAAACCACTCACTTGGTGTCGTAGACACCGGGCTCCCGCCCAACATAGACGACCCACATGTCACGGCGGCCGTCGGGTAGGTGGGCGTACTCGGCTTCGACCTGCGCCGGGGTCTTGGGGTCATCGTCGCGGACCCAGTTTCCTGGGGGAAAAACGAGATGAGAGGGCCAAGCGGAAAGGTCGTGTCTCATACCGTGATCCGCCGCGTCGACCCGAGCGAAGAGCTGGGGCAGAGTGTCTGAGCGCGAGTTTATCAGTAAGGGTGCATGTGGAGGGAGAGAAAGAATGACGTTGCAACTCTTGCGCCACCCGCGCCAACCTCGCCGAGTGGAGGACGAGTTCATCGACGGCGCCTAGCGCCGCCATCATCTCGCGGTAAGTGAGGGGCGCGCTGTTGGGAGGGGCGTTGGCCTCAGAGGAGGTGGTGGGCATAATGGGTGGGGAATGTGGAGGGGATGGGGGAATGAGTTACCTGACGTGCCGTTCCAGTCTGAGTTTTGAAAAGGCGAACACCGGGCCTGGAAAAAGCACCGAGATTCTGGATGCAGATAGAAGATTCGGTCGGGGCTTGATGTGTCGCTTATCGATTGTCCATGTGAGATGAGACACGCATGAGGAATGGCTGAAATACCCATAAGGAAGGATGAGATGGGGTCAAAGGCAGAAAGACAGACTTGGGCCTGGAAGGTCTTCGCAAAAAGGAAAATTGTCTGCATTGGGAGAGGTTCCTGGCACAATACTGGGGACCTGGATCGGGATAGGTCGGGAGTGTGATGGCGGCAGTTGAAACTTGAGCGAAATTTAAGGACGGTTAAATACCAAAGGTGCTGTCGCAAAAGGCTCCCCCGAGAAAAAAAATTGACCCTGCAATTCTCTCCCTCCTCGTTTGCTTTGATGACTGGCAAGACTTGGACGACTGACCCCGAAAAGACGTATCTTCTGTTGCGGCTGCCGGACTATGCCGAGGCGGTGGACAAGAGCGGCGGCCAAAGATCCCAGCAGCGTTTCTTTAAGGCGCTGTACGAGCAATACTTCGTGCGCTTCCCTCTGCGAGGCGACACGGAGGAGGCCCGCGGCTCTTTCGTGGATGCGCGACAAGAGGTCAGTTACGTTTATGTTCCAGGACGTGCAACCACGAGACTCACGTTATGCCATGCAGCAAATCAAAACTTGGATGCGCTACCGCAATTCTACTCGGGGCCGCGCGGCTGGCGGTGGCGGCGGTGGCGGCGGTGGTGGCAGTGGCGGCGGGGGGGGCGGGCGTTCTCTATTTGACGTGCTCGTCCCACCCAAGGTCACTCGCGCCTTGCGCACCGTGGAGGTGTATCAAAAGATGTTTGGGGAGGACATTAAGGCGGAGGTCCTGAGGCGCGAAACATCGGAGAAGTCGGAGGAGCGCGAGAGGAGTTTGCGCGTCATGTCGATGTCAGAGGGGGGAGCGCAGGCTGGGGAGGAGAATGAGAACCAGGAGGAGGACAAGGAGGAGGTCCGGAAAGCTCGCATGCAGCGCATGAGTTTGTGGCGGAGAACGGTGATGGATATGTTTGCGAATGCGTCACTTGAGGTGAAAGCCTCGGTGGTCGAGCGCATGAATGCGCTGAACGCAGCGCGCGCTGTCGGCACGACAGACCGCGAAAGCGACGAAGAGCGTACCCCGGAGGAATACCAACAGTAAGATTCCGTAGCTACCCGTTTATACTGGCTGAGAACCGAAAAACAGTGTAATTGATCAACTCCCGGCAGTGGCGAACCAATTTTTGAAGCAAGTGGCCAAGCATACCGGGTGGCACTTCACGTTACTGGCTGGTGGGCCTGTTCCGAAGCATATGGGTCAGATTTCTACTGCAGTGTAAGTCGTGATACCCGTTTTGGGACTGTAGGCGCTAATTTGATCCACGTGCTCTTCTCTTCCATCTCTTTGTTGACAGAATCTGCTACGGGACGACTCCAGGCGGCAACGACTTCCAGGCTTCCCACAACGACTTCAAGCGCTCGGTCTCAGCCCCGTTTGGTGCATATCTGAAGCGAGTGTTTCGTGAGTCAATAATTACTCGAGGTGAATGCAAAAGTAACCAAGGTGGTACATAGCGCACGAGGAACGAGAGGCGAGAGCTCTTCCCCCGAATCTAGCCGAGCCAGCAGATGTAGACGAAGCGGCGGACGCTGTCCCCCTGAGTGCCGCGGGCCTGCTTCAAATCACTCAAGTCGAAAGCGGTGAACCTGACGCGCCAGAGAAGTCAAGGTGCACACGAAAAAAGAACTTGTCACCGTCCAAGGCTGCGGCTCCCCCTCCATCTGTGGCTCCCCCTCCATCTGTGGCTCCCCCTCCGTCCGCGCCTGTGCCGGCTGTGTCTGCGGCTCTGCCCACGAGACTTGTGTCGCTGCCTCACGCCCCTACGTCGTCTCCGATGGACATCGGTATTGATTCCGGGAGCTGGCCTTTGCCCTATCACCCTAACTACTCGGACTACGACACTAGCAGCACAAGCAGCTTCGGGTTCGGAAACAACGCCTGGTCGGAAGACTTGAGTTGCTTAGACGATGTCCTTTCGTTTGACGACCCTGGCTTGGGGGCCGACAGCATGTCGTACGTGTCGCCTCACCCCTTGCCATACCAATCAAATGCCTACTCGTCGTACCCCCCCGACGTCCCCAACTTTGATTCTGCAGGGGAAGATGTGATCCCGCCATCGAGGCCGCCCATGCCAGTGGCGCGCGCGAGGCATCACGGCTTCCCCTTGAATAGGGAGGTCGGGGGGGAGCCGGGGCGAGCGGGCCACTATGTGTTCCCCGAGGCTTCGCCTTACAAGCCCAGCGGCCTCTTCGCGGCCTTCCGCACAGCGCCGGCAAGCGGGGCCCACCTGGAATCACGAGGGATTGGACAAGTTGCCAACACGACAAACGCTGTCACGGTACTGCCCTCGGGGGGGACGGGGGCACCAGTCTCGGCGGGATTCTTCAAAAGAGTGGTGGCCAACGTCTCGATTCCTCCCGCCGTGCCGCCTCCCGCTGCTCCTGTTGCGTGCGCGCCCCCCGCTGCTCCTGTCGCTCCTGTCGCGCCCGCGCCCACGCCTCCCGCTGCTCCTGTCGCGCCCACGCCCATGCCTCCCGCTGCTCCTGTCGCACCCGCGCCCACGCCTCCCGCGCCTCCTGCTGCTCCTGTCGCGCCCGTGCCCACGCCTCCCACTGCTCCTGTCGCTCCTGTCGTGCCCGCGCCCGCACCTCCTGCTGCTCTTGGGGCTCCGGCTGTTCTGGCTGCGGCCGCCTCGCCGGCTGCGTCTATCCCAGCGCTCACTTCACCCGCTCCTCCCGCCGCTGTGCCGGCGGAGTTGGCTGGTTAGATTGTCTTAGATACATCTTGACTTGTTAGCAATGCGAATTTTGCCACAGTATTGTTTACTGAAAATGTGACGTGGACGATAAAATAAAATAAAAAAGCTTTGGGGGGCTCCTTGATCCCCCCAAAAATAAAAAAGGTTGCACAGGAACGCCGGGGCTGCACTAGGTACCAAACGGGAAATGGTGCAGTGTGGACGCATTGGTCTAGTGGTAAGACATCCAGATGATATCCCCATGCCAAAAGCGATTTCTCTGGAGGTCTTGGGTTCGATTCCCAAATGTGTCGTCTATCCTTCCCCAAAAATTTTTGGTCGAGTCTGCTAAAATTTGAGGACTAGACTGGACTATGTAGTTAAATTTTTGTGCTTGGACTCTGTGTGGATTGGATGTGACCTGGATTCAATTTGATTTGACTTGGCTTGATTGAGTGGGACTTGACGATAAATATGCGCCGGGATTGACGACTATGGTGGTTTGATGGTGGTGCTAACTAACTTTGAGAAGAGTAAAAGGTGGGGAGGGAGGGACCGAAATTGAATTGGTGTCCAATGAAATATTCACTAATCGCGGGCTGGGATAAGAAACCGATTCCGAGAAGGGACAGGGGGCAGGGGCTAAAGGCGGTGATTTGAAACAGGGACAAAGAGTACGACGGCCCCTGTGCAAATATTGGAACGTACGTGATCAGAGAACTTGATTTGACGATGGTGAGTGTGGATACATACTTTACATATCATTGAAGGTTTGTAGTAAGTACGTGTGGGCCGAGGGCAAGCGTAACGGACCGAGGGCACCGTCGCGCGGTGGCAGGCGGGGGTGCGCGAGCCGAAAATGATCGGATGTTGCCGAGATGACCAAAAACAGCCTGTTCTCTGCTCTGATACATCACAAAAAGGTCGGGAGAGCACAGCCACGCGCCAGCCAAGGGCAGGGGCCAACGAGCGGGGGTGCGCGAGCCGAAAATTACCGGGATCTTCCGGAGATTACCCAAAAAGGCGGGGTCTCTCGTGTGATACATCACAACGCAATGCTATGATGTATCATTGCCAATCTCTCCGGGGAGATGCTTGATGTATCAAAGTGCCGTGTAGGCCTGTGTGAATGCACTGTATTGTAACCGTAAGAGCCCCCGAAGCATCTGTACTGTTACGGTTACGGCCGATTAGCACCCGCAAGAAGCCGTAATCCGCCGTAACCGTATACAGTACGGTGCGAATCCCTACCTCCATCACTAACAAATGAGAAATATCATTGAACTTTGCAAACAACAATGAAAGCACTCATAGACACATTGGCAGAGTGAAAATGATATTGACTAAGGTTTAGAGTAGTCTTCAGGTGTTGGGAACCATCTATGCATTGTCTTGTCACACCGTACAAGTTAGCTGTCAACAAGTTAGTTTCATCAAGCGTGGGAAAAGTACAGTAAAGTTAAGTAAAGGTAGCCCCGCCAAGCCAAAGGGGTGATCAAAGTTAAAGTTAGCCCGCACAGGTTACTTTTTTCACTCTCCGGTTAGTCTAGTCAGGAGGCGGAGAGGATGGAACGTACAGGTAGGGATGAGAAGCTTTAGAACGACACTGCATGCACTCGATGAGAGGGCTGGACTTTGACGCGAGCGGGAGGATGATTCGGATGACCGAGACAACGACAGGTGAGAGGACCCGCTGGAGAGCGGGGGTGGTGTGTCCGGAGTGGTTGGAGGAGGGCGGGCTGGGGCTATTGGAGGACATGGTGAGGCGGATTTGCTTAGGGACGATGCTGGCACATGCGGTAAAGACGTCACTGTAGGTTATACGTCATTAGAGAAGATTTTTTTTGGAGCGCAGGGGCGTTCCTGCAGCGCAGCGGGAGCGGTTTTTTGGGAATTTTTTGAGGTGAATTTTTTTGGAAATTGATTTCGTTCCTGCAGCGCGGCGGGAACGGTTTTGGGAAAGATTTTTTGGCAATTAATTCCGTTCCCGCAGCGAGGCGGGAACGGCTGTGTTGCAGAACATAAATTTCTGATAATGAGAGTTGAGCTGGCGCACAGAATAGTCCTAGGGGATTTCTCTGGCAAAGAAAAATTCAGGGAATTCACAAATTTAAGTGAGACTTCTTCAACATGTTTCTTCTGGTAAAGAAGGATGAGCCGAATCTAACAATTTGGTTGAAAGTCAAATATTTGTGCATGACATCTTTAACATGATTTTTCCAGTAAAAGCGTTACCGGAAGTCCGAAGTTCCAGTTTACAACCCAAGTTCCACCCCCAAATCCCAAGGTCCACAGCCAAATCCCAAGTTCCACCCCCAAATCCCAAGTTCCCCTCAAATCCCAAGTTCCCCCCAAATCCCAAGTTCCACCCTCCAAATGCCGAGTTCCATCTCCCAAATGCCGAGTTCCCTTTAAATGCTAAGTTCCACCCCTTAAATGCCAAGTTCTACCCCAAGTACCAGCCAAATGCCAAGTTTCATGGTTTTCGATGATTATATAAGCTGATGGTACTCGGTGCCAAGTTCTTCGATGAGAATATTAGGCTGTTGCACCGAAAACGGCTTGAAATAAGTTGATAAAAATATAGGATATAAAGGGGATTTTTTTCGCGGAATACTTGTTCCGACTATCTGGGGTACACACAATTTATTGACCAGACCAGACTCATAATTTGTGTGCTCAACTATTTCATACGCACCTGATTTGCGATGAGGTTTTTGAATTTGAAATGGATTTCGTACACCTAATCTTGGAAGGACTCCTCTTTGCACTGCTGAGCGGTGTTCAACAGAGAATCGAAGAACAAAGTCATAAAACAGATATCTTTTTAAGGCAAAATCACGATAGAAATAACTTGATTACTCATTTCTTAAGCAGATGAACTGATTTTATGTACGCCTGTTTACCTTCTTCTTTTTCTCCCACATCCGCCGAAGAATCTGATTATCACTGGGTGCTCGCAAATTCCCGAGCTTCTCAGATCAGTATCATTTTCATCTTTTATTTTCCTGACAGTTTCCGGGTGTACTAGGGACCGCTTTAAGGCGCTCTCTGTGAAGAGCACATTAACTTATCACTCTTATTACTCTTATCTTAAGCAGATGGATCACCAGAGGGATCACTTTTATTACTCGTATCTTAAGTAGATGCACTGATTTTATGTGCGCATATTTATATCCTTCTTTTCTCCCACACCACTGCCAATTCCCGAGTGACAGGGGTTTGTTTTCCACTGAACGCTCCTTTAGCACTTGCTTGGCACTCAAGCTCGCGTACATTTTAACTTTTGGGGCCTCTTCGCGATGACATGATGCCCATTTTCAGCCAACCACATGCTCACTGCTTCGATCAAATACCAAGAGCTATATAGCGTATCTCCCATTTTACCAATACTCTCTTTGTGCTAAGTATTAGTAAGAGGTCCTCTATGATTAACTGCAACACTCAGGCAACACACTCTCAACTCCCCTCACATCACTAGAATTCAGGATATCTTAAGCAGATGCCACGAATCGGAGTGCGGTTCGTACTGCCAAAATTACCCCATTGACTATCTCAGCTGACTCCCTGTATCCGCAATTAGCTTAGACGCCAAGGTGTTTAGGACTTTTCAAGTCCCCGATCAGATCCTCAAGCTCCACTCAAAAGGCAGGGTATTCATCGCGTCGCTTCGGTTCCACCCCCATCATCTCTGCCTTCATACTGCCCGTGTCGCCGCTTTCGTTCCTCTTTCTTGTTAGAATTCAAAATCTCACCACTATAGACCACTATCATTGAGCAACAAACGTACCGTGTTGTCAATACTTGATTCTACCGAGTTCGAGTCTTCTGAGTCCGAGTCTTCCGAGTCCGAGTTTTCAAGTTCATTATTGCCGAGATTATCTATTTCACCCTTTTTTTCGATGCTACAGTCTATGTTATGTTTGAATTGAGAGGAGTACAATTTTTTCATCCGCGCTATCAAAGCAGACGAAAATAATGGTACAGTTTCATGCGAACTATAAGTGTCTCCATGACCTCACAGATACCATGCAGCCTGTTGAGCATGATTTGCTGTTGCCGAGTAAGTTGAGAGAGACAATTGTGCAACAAACTTTTTGCAGAGACCACAGTTTTTCGTTACTCGTCGCTTCGGTTTGCTAGAACAGCCTGAGAAAGTAGAGAGAGAATGTGATAAGTTTTTTCGTCAAATTTGGTGATGTAATTTGTAATGTAGAACATTGCTGCTTTTGCTGCTTTACCGGATAAAATACATTTCAACTCGTGATTGTGTCGAAAGCATATCAAAATATACTATTTTTGATCCCCTAGCTGGCCGCCTAGGCTTTCATGCTTAGTCCTTCCCCTCTGTAGTGCGCCGATGCAGTCGGAACCATGTCAGATTGAAGGCATATATCTCCCGAACAACTCAAGCCCATTTTCATCAAAATATCGGTTGAATTGATGCTGCAGTGAATTTATTTCCGAGGCGAGTCCAACATGACCAAATAACCGGCTAGCTGGCCACCCGACAGATTAATCTGCTGGGCCCTATAAGAGCGACCAAATCCCTCGGATATCATATATAGGAGACATGTGAACCATAATATAGCGCTGAATAGTAAATATGCACCATATTGTACCTTGAAATATCACTGTCTGTCAGCAAGGAAACCCCCAAAATAGTGGTTTTTGCCCAAGTGAGGCTATTATCCGAGCAGAAGTGCGTATCAGCCGGAAACAAGGTTTGAATGGCTTAATGGCACATATTAGGACATAGCTAGACACTAAGCTTCATCCCGAGCTGCTGGAACCCCTCCCAAAAATTCTGTCTTTGGGTCATTGCCAATTCGGGTGGTTGGGGGTAAAAGCCTATGGTGGGAATGGAGTCGTGCAGTCAAAAATTCTGAATGCATCTCAGAAGAAGCTACATGGTAGTGAGAGGCCGTATGACAAGTTCCGGAGCAGTAGCATTTGGGTGTCCTGCAGTGTAGGGTCGACCAGCATGAGCAAGCACAAAGAGGTAGCGGCACTGTGTTAAGCATGGGGTGGAGAGGACACAAGCTTATGGAGGTCGAGCAATATTTCAGATGAATTTGAGGCATCGGGGGATCATAACGAGCCCACAAAGTCGCGGAACAACCAGGAATTGGTGCAGAAACGGCCAAGACAAGAGCGGCCGGCAGGGCCAAACGTAAGAAAATGATATTCTCACCCTTCGGATCGAACTCCGACATGCCATAACTTTTGATCAACACATCATTCCGCCTCCAAATTTGGTCTGGACCTTCATCATACATTGTACTTTGATCCCCCATTCGCAGCCAGTTGAAAT